CATGGTACCTGGCACAATGAACCCATCAAATACTTCCTTATTAACCTTTTACTTTATCATTTGCATCCTTTTGGACCTTTTCAGAGATAGAGGCTAATAAAAAGCCTCATGTGTTCGCTATTTACACTTCTAACTTCTCTTTTGCAAGTGCAAACAGAAACACAGATGGCAGTACATTAGGCTTTGAAACCCTTCAAGTAAAAGTCACTCAGCGCATCTCCTTTTTACCAACATTAAAAACAGGTCACTGCAAATGGCTTGTTATCTAGAGGCGCATCCACAATGCAGTCCTAGAATGAAACGGCCCTCTATGCCGACTATCCCAACTCGGCACAGCCACAAAGAAGGGAGCTTTGTCCTCGCACCTCCATGGAATAATGAATAACTGTCCCGTCCAATCGCCATCCAGGGATGAGCACTGCAATCAGATGGTGCCACTGTAATTAAGGCCACAATAGCTGCCTAATTATCCACCGCTGAAAAGACGACCGTGGTCCAAGCAGAGTGGGCCAGACGGGGGGAAAACGGCACTAATGAGAGTTTATCTGGGCCGTACACGGCTGAACGATGGGACTCTACTAACTCTTCCTTAAAAGTTCATGCACAGCTAACAAAGCAGCAATACAATGAACAATGAACCTTCCTCTACCCCAGCTCCCCCTGCGTCAGCATGGTGGCACTCTAGTGAAAAAGTGTCCTGCTTTGGCCTCATTACCACAAACAGTGAGTTTCCACACAAACAAATTCCTGGATTAATGAAACAACACTACATGCTGTTGAGCAACAAGTGCAACAAGTGTAGGACGGATAGTTTTAGTGAACAAGGAAATGCTGGTTTGACAGAACAAAGTGACTAGGACACTGAGGGCAGAATTACGGTTCACATGCAAATATGACTCGGGTAGGGACGGTTTATGCAAAACATTAGATAGAGACAGCTCGCATACCTTTTATGATAGGGGTCCTTGACCTGTAATCAAATGAAGACACACCAAAATGTGAGTAAGGTATTTGATGAGGAAAAAACACTAGTCATCAGCTGCATAACATCAATTTCATCAGGATTTCATCATACAATGTGTGAGTTAAAGACCCCTAAATTTCTCACATCTACTGATATCTCACTCTATTGTGGAAAGGCTTGGATGAATGTGTGAAAGGAGTGAATGGGGCTTCTCTTTTATACAATTGATCCTGCAATGACCCTTCCATTATTTGGTGATTGCTGACTGTGGTGAAAGGAGTCTCATCAGAGGGTTTGCTCGAAGCTGTCAGTGCAAGAAGCTACTGATTCAATTGCTGTCAAAAGCTCTTATTGTGAACTACTACTTCGGGAGTTTGAAGAAGAATGAGACAGGCTTTCTTTGATAAGAGCGGAAAGACTCTTGCCATTTGATTTACAGGCCACACGAAAAAAGACTGTATCATCACATATCATAATAGAGGAAACTGATTGTTATCGACTAAGAAAAGGCTGATATAAAGCCAGCAGATCAAATAAACACTGAAAGGGTGATCAGGAGGACCAGGGTTAATATTGTTAACTAAAACTAAAACTAATAAAAACATTTTTGTTAATTGAAATCAATTTTATTCTTAAATAAAATAAAATATAAATATTAGATAAAAACTTCAACTAAATGAAAATGAGAAATGTTGCCTTTGCAACTAATTGACTAAATTAAATAACTGAAGTTTAAGCTGAAGCACTAAAACTACAAATACACAAGTTGACATTAAATATATTAATTTGAGTTCAAGTAATTTTATAATTTATTCTTTTGATATGTAAATTACCTTAAACCTTCTGCTAACATAAAGACAATCAGATAATATGATAATACTATAATACCGATGATGGTGCCTGCTGCATTTGCCATGGACAGCATGGAATATTATAAAAATATCAGTTTGCTATAGCGCAACTGACCAATCAGAATCAAGTATTCCAGAGTGCTGTGTAAAAAATTGTTTCTGTGAAGTCTGTCATAATTACTGTTCATATATTTTTAGGGTTAGAAATGCAAAACCTATATTAGAAAAGACATTTTTAATTTTTTAACATTTTTTATATTTTTAAAGACATCTCGAACTCATTGTATACCTGGTCATTGTCATCGGTGATGCTCTCATTATCATCAGAATCTGGCTCTTTTAAATCACAAGACTCTTTGCTTTTGCAAATGACGCCATTGTCAATGGTCTTTGATCTGTGTGATCTAATTGTCCCATGAATCACTGAAGATTCAAAGTTCCCGCTCTCTCCATCCGACTGAACCGCCAGTGGTGATTTCTGCCGGAATAATGGAGAAAGGGGACTCGTGGGAGTGGGAGACTCCTCTCCTAAAGGACCATCCGACTTGCTTGGATCTCGGTAGGAGATTCTCGTGCTCCTCATTCTCCTCAGAGTGGGGGACGTGGAGATGCGGGCTGGGGCTTGTCTATCAAACTGAAATAAGTGTGCTGGCATGCTGTCAGACTCCGTAAGGGAACCATACCTCAGTCTGGAGGGCGTCCTTCCTAAATCTATTCGCATTATGAAAGGACTAGCTGTTTGTGTGTCTTTGTCCTCACTTTGTACGCATTGGGTTTGGGTCTGTGCATCCGTCCCTTTGACCGTTTTCTTTTTATGCCAGTCTATGTAACTCCAGTCCAAAGTTTTATCCACTTCCTTCCCGTTTTCGCTTATGAAAGCATAATTCAACTCCGTCATCTTGAGTAATCTGGCATTATATCCAACAACAGAAGACTGATTAAGAATCAGATGCAAGTTTGGCTGGAGTCATTCCCACAAAAATGTGTCCGATCCCAAAATCCATGTCTCTGGAGCTTCTGAAAAGCAAGAAATTATTAGAAAAGCCAGCCACTAAGTTTATTTCAACTCTTGCATAACTAGCCATGTAGAGTATGCCGATTTTAAACCCTTTAATCCCAAAATTTCCCAAGCTAAGTGTGAGAAACTGCAACTGCAAACAATAAAGTAACAAAATTTCATTTTTTCCCCTACTAATCAGTTGTGGTGAAAAGGGGAATGATAAAATCATGTTCACATAAATTCCAGAAAACCTGCACTTTCATCATTAGTTGATGTGTATAACACAACTCTTTTTAGACCCTTCAAACTCCAACGTAAATTGTGTTCACAAATGGGATTAAATGAGTTAATCTGTATTTACCAATACTTTATGATGTTAAGCACCCAGACATTGAAAGCCCCTTTGAACGTTATTGCAATTTTCAACAATTCAGGAGGATTATTTCTACCACATTCTCAATAGGAATTTTGTAGTTTATCATTCAGCATGCTTAACGTGATATTACTGAGTCTATATTGTAGTCCATTTTGCACACATAATATTGAATATATACTTATGCATTTTATATCATATATACTTATGTATGTTTATACATTTATGTTCATGTTCTAACTTTTAACTATTAGCCTTTATATGTGATTTGATCTGGTTTTCTTCTGTGGAGCCTGCAGAAACTGGGTTATTATATGAAATAAGTGCCTTTTCCATTCAAAAATGTGATTTTTAAAAGCACATTTCATTTATATACATTATATCAGAAAATAACACCTTTATGTTACTAAACTAATTGTGCCATCAGCTACATTAAAAAAGTAACATTGTTAATAGTTATATAGTTAATTTAGTCATTACAAGCCTTGTGCTGAAGGTCATGAATTTAAAAGGTGATTATTAGAAAGGGAATTTAATGCTGATATTTCTACAAAAATCTAGTTTTTGGCAATTAATCGTTTATGATACGAAATCATGATTTAAGAGTTGACTATATAAGATCAATCAGTAACACTTTACAATAAGGTTCCATTAGTTAATGTTAGTTAATGTATTAACTAACATGTACAATGAACAACACATTTATTACAGTAGGCTATTTATTAATCTTTGTTAATGTTAATGAAAATACAGTTTTT